ACCTGCATCGAGCCACCGTTGGTACTTGGCGTTGATGGCCGCTTGGTTGCGCGCCCTTGCTGCGTCGTTGGCGGCTCGGATCTCATCGGCGATCTTGACCGTCTGCGGGAGGATCTTCTCGACAAAGTCTTGGCAGTCGTCGTACTCGGGCCCTTGGCGGCGGCGGAGCATTCGCTCGGTCGGCGTGTACGGCTCGCGCATGAAGAACGCGTAGAACGGTGCAAAGCCTGTCACAGCGTGGATGCTGCGGTTGTACGACGAGGTCACAGTCGGCAAGTGCACGTCCCAGTCATCTCGGGCGAGGATGAGAGCGCGGAGCCGTTCTTTGACCGTCCGGTTCACTCGTTCGACTACGCCGTTGGCTCGAAGTCGGCACGCTGTCGTCGGACAGTGCTTGACGTTGTACATGGTGTAGAGGCACCGCGAGACCTTGGCCATGTACGCTTGACCCCGGTCGGAAACCAGCACTCGTGGTGCTCCAAAAGGCTGGATAACAAAGTTGTGCAGCACCATCGCCGTCGTCTCCGCCGACTTGTCACGGACTGGCAGGCACCAGATGTAGCGTGTGAAGAGGTCCGTGACGACGAGGACGTACTTGTTGCCGTTGGCCGTAGGGACACTGAGCAGGTCCGCGTGGTCTGCCGCGAGCGCGTCCATCGGGGCGTATCCGACGCGTGGGCTCCCACTGGGTGCGCGCGTGGTGTGGCGTGGGTGCTTGGACTCTTCACACCCAATACACCGCTTCACGAACGAAGTGACATCGCCGAGCATGCCTGGCCAATACGACGTCAAGGCGAGTTTGTCGAGAGTCTCTTGGATGCCGCCATGAGACTCATCGACGCCGGCATGTGCGCCGGCGACCAGCTCCCGTCGGAGTGACGAGGGGATCATGGCAACTGGGCGGCCCGGTCCGACGCCTCGAAGGTAAGCGGGCCGAGTTGTCACCTTACAAAGCACGCCATCCATCATCGTGTAGTCGGCGACGTCTTCGAGCTTGTACCGGATCGGCCGGCCATCGTCATGTTGCTCGAGGTACTCAATAAACCCGGCCATCCATCGGACGCCAAGTTGGCCTTGCCGGATCCGCTGATTGCGTAACGCGTCAGCAGTGCTTGCATCGTCCGTGGCTTCAATGGTTGCTGACACCGCGTCCTGGTCCGGGGCGCTATACGGGGGAACGCACCCCCACGGTGGTAGCGGCCGGTTCGCGTCGACCCACGATTGGACAACCTCGGCGTTGATGGCCTTCCGATCGGCAATCCCTTGTCGGTCCACTGGCGGCTGGTCGTCCATGACCCAATTGGCGGCGAAGTCGGCAGCGCCGTTGTACTCGCGAGTCACATGGTAGAGCACCCACGCGTCGAAGCCGCTGAGGATCTGCGTGATCGTCGAGATGCGCTTCCGGAGGCCCTCTTCCTTGGGGACAAAAACTCGGTGGACGAGGTTGCAGATGAGTTCGGAGTCCGAGAACGCCACAACGGTACGGCTCCCGCGTCCCCGCGCGGCCCTGAGCGCGGCTTCGAGGCCAGCGGCTTCCTGCTGGTTGACAGTCGCAGTGCCCGGGCCCGATCCGCCGCCAGCTTCGAGCAGGGTGCGGCCATGGCTGTCCCACATGCAGAACCCGTGGCCACTCGTCTCCCCGCCGCGGTTGGCTCCATCGCTCGACACGATAACCGCGTCTTCGCCCATATGGTGAGCATGCGCGACTGCCCATCGAAGTTTTGGGTTCCACGTGTACACCTGGATCACTGCGCCGCCGAGGTGGTGCCGCCATTGGCGCACTCCGAGCAGGAGCGCCATCATCGTCTTCTCCACGGGTGTATAGCGGAGCTCACATTCGTTCAGCGTTGCGCTAGCAAACGCGATCGGCCGTTCGCCATCGGCTGACGTCTGCGAGAGCACGCACCCGATCGTCGAGAAGTCAGACCCGACCGTGAGGTTAAACGGGGCATCGGGCGTCGGGACTTGAAGCGCGACCATGTCGTTCACGAGGCGCACGATATGCGCGACGGCGTCTTCCCCTTCTTGGCCGAGTGTAAGGGCGCCCGGCGTCGCGACCTTCGAGAAGAGTGGCGCCGCCGCGGTTGCGAAACCCGGCATGAACCGTCGGTAGTACACTGCGCGGCCCAGGAACTCCCGCAGCTGGTCCGTGGTCTCAATCGTCGGGGCAGACACGATGCTGCGAACGAGACTGCCCTAGGTCTTGACGACGCCATTGCCTTTTAGCACATGGCCGAGGTACTCGACCCGCTTGGCGCCCCACACGCACTTCTCCCGTCGCAGCGTCCATCCGACTTCTC